TCTTCTGGATTCTGACATACTGCGTAATGTAAATGGTTTGAGATGGCCATTAGACCATACTAAGTTATAATCTGAACTATTGGGATGAATCTGAAAATATTAAGTCTGTTTTGAAAATTGTGTCCCTTTGGAAATGGCCTGAATATTTGCAAGGCATTAAAATTATAAAAATGAAGGTAATTTTTCTTTCTTGCTTTCAATTTGTGAATGTTTTATTTCTATCAGCTAATTGAATAGATGGCTGAGTTAAACTTTCAGTTGAAAATAGCCTTCAAAACATAGGAGAAGTCTCACCTCATGGAAGCCATGTGACTGTAAAATATTTCGAATAATTTTACACTCAGAATTGGTAAACTTATAAGCCATGTGATAACGTTCTGGAAAAAAAGAAATGAATGAAGAATTATTTGTCATTATGTTCTCCCCCATTAAACATGAGAATATGTAGCCAGGCAGTTGCTTGTCCTTCTATGAGCTCTCTACTTTTAAAGAAATACTACGTCTTAGAATGAACATGAAATTCAAAAATTTTAAACTTGGCCAATAAGAGCATATATTCGTCAGTAGATATACTGTATATTTCCGTGTATAATGCACAGGTTTTTACCCTGAAAAGAGATACACACAGAAGGGGTGCGCACTATACACTATACATGGTTAAATAATTTTTGAGTTTTTTTCCCCTTCGAAAATACCGCGAAGCGATGTTGAGGATCCGCCAGTTTGTCTTCCTTCAATGTCATGTTGTTATGTTTTTAAGATCATTTCGGGAGTTATAACAACTCATTAGACTGTAATGTATTTTGTAAATATTTTATATTAATATATTTGAAATTACTAAACTGAAATAGGTATATTAATGTGTTATTTTACCGCAATTAATTCCATAAAGAGAGACGTTCTACCGCGGTTACAAAATTTGAACAGCTTACCAGATATACAGGGTTTTAATATTATCCTTCGTTTTTCCCAAATTATTCATCACAATACACATGGCAAATGAGAAACAAATACTTTTAATACTCTCACAATAGCTACAGAATCCATGTGGTATTTTCGCGCCTATA